TTTGTTCTGAAATTGTCAATGAGACTGTTATTTGTTTTTTGACAAGTGTACATGTAACTTGAGAAGTGACATTCATCTCGTCTTTCAACGTTACTGATGTTTTGTTTAAAATGTCTACTTGGTTAATGTTTGGATTTCTAAACTACATGTACCACAGAAATTTGAGTAAAACACATTAAATTTTAGCATCTAATTGATTCACAAATGAAAGGCTGAAGTAGTAGGTCTCAGTGGTATATTTATCCCAATTGGGTTTCCCTTTGTATCATATGCTCCACAGGTCACAAACATGTTTTTTCTTTGGATTTCCCATTTATGGAGGTGTTGAGGGCATTTACAAACCTCTTTCAACCCTGTCAATACACGTTTATATATACAGTCTTTCTATGGCCGTCTCTGTTTGCTCAGTGCCTGCTTTTAAACTAACATTGCATATAGTACTGCAGTACAAATACTAATTCTTTGTATATGTACATTATAAACTTGAGAATCTGTATTCTGATTTAATTTGATGAATTCAAGCACATTTCACCCATAAAACTGATAACAAATTTCAAAACTGGGTTACTCACACACAAGAGTCAATCTTAGTATAAAAAAAATGTCGCTATAAAGCTTTCCACTCCCCCCACTACTTTGGGAGACTCTGGGTTTAGCACCATGAAAAAACATCTATGGTGCCGGTACTACTTAGATCTTGCTGACTGGATGCCAAGAAAACAACAACCATGACCAATGCTTCTTATCCATTTATCATATCTGACCTCCACCTCTCCATGGAGTTCATAGTTTCATGCTTTGTTCTCTCTTATTATAAAAAAAATACTTTTTTGAGAGAGATGGGTCTTACAGTTCAAAATACTTGCATCTCAGAAATATGCTTTGAATTCACACATGCAGATACTACAGATACATGTATGAGATACCGGTACACTTGCTATACTGATCTATAATTATCTATATTCAAAGTTCGATCTAACCTTTGAGGTTCTCTACGTGAAGATAGTAAGAAAACCTAAAATTTGTTTTCACAGGTTCAGTAAACATTAAATAGCAGACTTCCAGACTACTAAATCAGGATGAAATGGTTTATTAGTGCATGAAATATTATGGGATGTTTAAAGTGAGGGGTGGTCAGACATGTAATGGGAATGTGAAAAACTATAATAATAACCTTCATAATACTAAAAGGGTTATACGTTTGTGTGTGTGAAATTTAATGCTATTTTTGGCTATTAATTCACAATTGCCAGTTAGAAAATATTTATTCAGTTCTATGTAAACTTCCACCACCATCAGCATTAGGATATTTTATTTTTATCGTTTCTCCTGATGATTTGCCCTTTGCTGTTGTGGTTTCCCATTTTGATGACTTCCTATGAAACATATTTCAGATTGATACAACTGATCTCACTCTGTGCCATTTCCAAACCTCTTAGAGGCATGATATTCAGTAAAAGTTTGGATTACTTGTAACCAGCATGCAAACCCTGCAATGCAGAGGTTTTCTAATATCGCTTGGTATGATTACGTCAATATATTAATATGAGATGATGTCAGAAGCTGAATTACTTGTAAAACATGTCAAATTTGTATAATGTCCACATACCAGAACAGCATTTTTGAAATCAGTTGCATTATTAAGTTCTAGATTTAATCACAATCCTATGACATCAACAGCAAATTCACCAAATTCCTATTTCAAATATTACTCTCTCTTTGATTGTTTACTTTTTTTTGTACGAATCATGAATAATTATGGTATGCATGCATACTGAAAATTATTTTACACTGGTATAAGCAGAAACATATTATGTTTTTCGTTATCTGGTGCCATGATTCCTATTTTGAATATTATATGCATACAATAGTGGTAACATGTGTGCATTTACTCCAAATAGCCCATTAAAAGTTAAAATGCCAACATTGAAATTTGAACACTGAATTTAAGTAATATTGTGTTTATATATTGTAGCTCTGGGACAGGTGATGCTCTATGTAGATGGCATGAATGGAGTGATAGAACATAATGAAACGATACAATGGTTATATTCGCTCATATCATCCAAAGTAAGTAGGGTACAATTCATTTTCTGATTCCAAAATTTGCATTTTCTTGTCTTGTTCTTGATGCTGTGTTCTCCCCAGGAATGTTGGACAGCATGTTGTCTCATTAACATAAGAATATGACCAAATTTACATACGTCTTCTTATGATTTCTTGACAGCCATGCTCAAAGATGTATATTACTGCATAATGCACATTAGGGGACATATATTTGTCATTTTTGCTGTCCCCATTTTGCCATGTTTTCCTATAGTTATGTTAACTCTTACTGACTCTCAGTTGTCAACTTCTGATAACTGAGAGCAGTAAAAGTGCTAAAATATGTAACCCAAACTTTCCGTATCTGTCTTTCTTTTAAAAGTATAAACAATGGTTAAGCATGAATAGTTTTTTGGTGAATGTGTTGAAGTTCATTGCTACATGTGTTCTATATTCAATTTATTTATCAACTGCAATTTCTAAAACTCGTGTGTACTTTCCAATTGTCTCTTTTCTGTAGTTCCGGTTAGTGGTGAAGACATCCCTCAAACTTCTTTTAGTTTTCGTAGAGTACACAGAATCCAACACAAATCTTTTGCTTCAAGCAATAAACATAGTTGACAGAAGACAAGGTAAGTGATCAGTTATCTGTACCAGAAATGTGTGTGTGTGTGTGGGGGGAGTTAAATCCTCACTGGGATTGTCTTAACATTACAACCTTATAGAAATATGGTACACTTTGATGTGCTCTTATTGTTATGCATAGCACAGTGAGGTTATTTAATGTCAAAATTGTTTTCATAATATGTTATTTACATATTACTAATGGTGCAAATATTTCAAGATTTTGTTTTGTTAAATTGACATTATGGTAATAAGGCTCAAGAGACAAGTTTTTAGTTACTTTAGATCTTGCACGCTCTGGTGTCGAAATGTTAAAATTTTGTCTGTGCAGGGGGAGTTCATTTCACTGTGCAAATGTTTGATTACTCAAAGGAACGTGGGTAACCAGGGAAACCAGCAAACAAATGTGCAAACTAAAATTCAGTATTATTTGCACAGAGGCATAGTCATGGCGGTATAACTTGAAACTCGTGTGTCAACTATTGATAATTTTTTTTTCACTTTCCTTATCTTGGTAGCATTACGTATATACATGTGTATGTAAACATGCATTTCTATTTATTTTTAAATTATATGAATATTTGAGCAAATTATATTTGCTGCCAGTATTACAACCTGGTCCTTTTCTCTTTATTAATTATTCTCTTTTGATGACTGTTTCTTGATTCATTTCTCAGGTCATCAACCCTGGCATAATGTAATGACCTTACTGAAAGATGAACAACAGGACAATGAAATCCTAGTGTATACCATGACGCTTGTCAATAAGGTAATCAAGCCTCAAAGATTTCCTGTGGATATTTATAAATTATTGGGGTAAAGTCCAGTAAGGAGTGGTAAAAACATAAATAAACATATCCACTATTTCCTGTGAGAATGTTTTAGATGATCATCTGATTATCCAGATGAAATGTGTCCAGTGAGTGGAGATGAAACCTCAAACCTGCCATGAAATCAGACACTGGTTTGTTAGTTGTGGACGGTCTACTAAACTCTGACTTCTTTGTAAAGCTGATTTAGGTTGTTTTGACTTTTAAAAATAATAGTACATTGCCCCATTAACGGTTTTTGACCAGTTTATTATTGTTGACTGAATACTGTATGGTTAACACTCTTCTCCTGGCAGCAAGTGCCTTTGGTTAGTGTAATTAGTGTGCACTTGGATTATGTTGACTAAGTGACCAGAACCTTATAATCTGTTATGCACACAGGTTTTTCGTTGTTGTATTCAGCGAAGCTGCTTTACAATATTGAATAAATGTTTCTTAATCACGATTTTGTTTTTAACTCTTCATTTGTCATCTGGTTTTGTTGTCATCATTTATTAGAAAATAAATATTTCATCTTGTTTGTCAACAAAGTTGATTGGAATCTTCAAAATGTATGAAATTAAAATTTTCTTTTGAATGTTGAATAAATCGCACCTAAATTTTGGAGAATAGACTGGTTAATTCCAAACTTGTGCTTATTAGTGTTAAAAGGTATTTACAAGTTACTGTAAAATGATTAATTTTCACTGGGTTTAAATTTTGCTGATTTACTATTTCAGGCATATTCAGTGGGTTTTAAATTCATGGTTTAATAAATTTAATAGATAATGTGTTCTATGCTAAATAGCTGAATAGAATTGGTGTCTATGACCCTTGACCTGTTACATACTGTAAAACATATACACTGGGTTTTAATTTAGCGCATTTTCCAGTCAGTGAAATAAACAAAATTAAAACCCAGTGAATAATTACCCCCTTTACAGTATATTATTTTTGCTAAGTGAAATGGTAATTTGTTAATAGAGGGCGCTGTTGCCATTATAAACAGTTTTTTGAACTAAACTACTTGTACATTTTTAGGTTTTGAATGCAATACCAGATCAAGACACGTTCTACGATGTAACAGATTCCCTTGAAGAACTAGGCATTGATAAGGTCCAAAAGTCATATATGCACAGAAACAGTGATCCTGATCTACAAGAACAGTTCAATATTTATGAAGTAAGCTCTCACTATTTTATAATATTTATTTGTAATTTTTGACTTTAGGAGCATTTATATGTCGAAACATTAATATAAGAGTCATTTGCAGCCAGGATTTCAACACAGAAATACATGTAGTTATGTACCATTATCTATTCTGGTTGACTGGTGGGTATTAGTCTGTTTATTAGTCTGTAGTTTTGAAGTCTGAAAACAAATTTGGAATAGACCCACCATACCATTACCTGACCTTGGGCATGCATGGATTGATTTTCAATCTTCAGTCTTGGGGCATACATTGAGCATTCTGAAAGCTTGATGTACATCACTTTGAATTACTGTAAAAGATGTATTTTCAGCTAGAATGTTGTTTTAGCTAATTTATCTAATCACTAATTCAAGATGCCACTAATTTAAAATAAAGTATATTCTCACAATGAGATTGTTGGTACTTTAGCTAAATCAAGATTCTGGTAATTCATGCATTGAGTCAAATTTGCTAAATGACATATAACTATTTCAAAATGTTTTATGGTATTGATCTAGCAGTCATTTTTAGTCCCCGTTCGAATGCAGTCCGAAAACGGGGACTTATGTTTTGACCTCCCTGTGTTCGTGCGTGCGTGCGTGCGTGCGTG